AAGACGCAAGAGATAGAGGGAGCAATACAATATAAAACGACAATTTTCTAAACTGATGAACTCGGCAATCACACAATTGCATTATACAAGATCTTATTACACCCCCGTCATTTTGATAACGCATACCAACGCTCTGTAATCTCCTTTGATTACCAGATACTCCTTGTCATACCATTCCGAAAATATGGCTCGTAATTGTACCTTGCAAGTCAGGGACACATACCCGTACGGGTGCGCATATCACCAACCTATCTCAAATGAAGGAACCTCAAAAAAGGGAGTTCTCTTAAAATACAATAAACTAACTACAAGGCAGGAGATATATTTCCTCAAGGCTCGGACAGGAGAGAAAATAATCTTGAAAAAAAATTAAGATTTAGAATTACAATAAAACAAATACAGTATACGAAATGTATCTCCCAATGCTCAGATAGGCGAGAAAATAATTTCGAAAACTAAAGGTTCAAAACACAGTAAAATAAATACAAAGTACGAGATATATTTTCCAATGCTCAGAGAAGCGAGAAAATAATTCCGAAAACTAAAGATTCAAAACACAGTAAAATAAATACTAGGTACGAGATATATTTCCCCAATGCTCGGACAGGAGAAAAAATAATCTTGAAAAAACTAAAGATCTAGAAATACAATAAAACGAATATAGGATACGAAATATATTTTCCAATGCTCACACAGGAGAGAAAATAATCTTGAGAAAAAAGCTAAAGATTTAGAAATACAATAAAACGAATACAGGATAACAAATATGTTTTCCAATGCTCAGACAGGAGAGAAATAATTTTGAAAACTAAAGATTTAGAAATACAATAAAACGAAATAGAGGATACGAAATATGTTTTCCAATGCTCAGACAGGAGAACAAAATAATTTTGAAAACTAAACAATAAGCGAACCTACCAATAAAAGCTACTAACCTCCTTAGAATTTTTGAGGGCCAAGAAGAAAAACAGGACAAGAATCAAAAAAAAAAACCCCAAAAAAAAAGAGAACCTCCAAACGCCCAGGGAATTACTAACCCTAATTAAGCTAGCATAAGCCATCCAATCGCCAGCATGACATCGCCCCTTCGCGTCACCTGGGTTAACTCCCTACGCCGAGATGAACTCCAAGCCTGCCTAGGGGAGTTCAACCTAGACATCACCGGTACCATCCAAGAAATGAGGAGGCGTTGGGCACAATTCATCAATCAGGACCACAAGCCCGAGGTCGTCACGCGGCTACTAGAGTTACAGATCGAGCTGGAGGGCCTCACCAGGCAGCGATCGCTGTCACCAGCCTCCCGCGCCCGAACTGGGGCCGACGGAATGCCCATAGATGAGAACGCACCCCCACACACACCGACGAACGCCGCAACCCTGTAAGTACCAGTGACGATAAAAGGGCCGGACGATAAAAGAGCACCAGCAACCCTCCCCACTACAGCGACAACAATCAACGACACTAAAGACGGAGTTTTTCTGTTTGGCCTTCACTGAAACTTGGCTAAAACCCGATCTTCATTCGTCGGAACTTTTTCACAATTCTTTCCAAGTCTTCAGAAAGTATCGAGTGAATCACCTTGGTGGTGGTGTATTAATTGCCATATCTGCGTCAGTCCCATCCAATTCAATAGAATTTCCCACTTCTCCCGACATTGAATTTATCGCCATTCGTGTGATAATGTCCAGTAAACAGCTATTTGGAACCTGCTCCTGTATTCCCCCAAATTCTGTTATCTCGATTTACAACGCATTGCCCTCATTTGTGAAGTGGCCAAGTGGTCTAGACTTAACGATTTGTTCGTTGCATTGGGTGACTTAAACTTGCCTCAAGTCATTTGGTGTAACAGTGATAATTCTGGCGGTTTGATTCCTACTTCAACTGATAGGGTTATTGTGTTCTTTAATGAATTGATTGATCATAATTTGGTTCAATATAACCGTACCCCTAATTGTAATGGTAGACTGCTTGATCTCTGCTTTGCCAACTTTCCTGAGATTAACGTAAATCGTTGTCCACCTTTTAGTTTACCTGAGGATCCTTATCATTCATCAATGTGTATTTCCTTTCATCATAAGAATGATGGTTCGTCGAACTGCCTTAATGTACCAAAGCAAACTTTTTTAAATAAATATTATGATTTTCATAAAATCAATAGTGTATTGCTAAAACGTCGTCTTTCACATATGAGGTTTGATTTCTCAACCGGAAGTATTGAAAGATTATTGTCATCGTTCTACAATACGTTAAATCTAGCTGTTGCTGCATCTGTTCCGATCAAGCAGTTCCGACCTCGAACCAGGTGTCCCCCTGGTTTAATAAGAAAATTAAATATTACAAGAATAGAAATAACACGCTATTCAAAAAATATTCGAAAAGTGGCTCTGCGCTCGACTATTTCGCTTACTCGGTGGCGAGGCATAGATTTAACTCCCTCAGATACCTTCAGTTCATTAAATCCTCTCTGGTTGCTAATCCTAAATACTTTTTTAAATTTATTAACTCTAAAAAAAAATTTCCACATATCCCTCTCATGTTTCTTTTATCTCAAATCTGTTTGCTGAGTATTTCCGACGAGACTTATCGATTGCTAATTTCGATTTATCAGCAAACTACCCATATCCTATAACTAACTCGGTTTCAATTCATAACTTGGTTATTTCGGAAGATGACGTTTTTAATGGGTTGAGTTCTCTAAAATACAGTTGTTCGCCTGGACCTGATGGAATTCCATCATGTGTACTTAAATCTTGCGCTGTCGAGTTATGTGGTGTGATCTCAAAGATTTTTAACATGTCCTTGTATTTAGGTGTTTTCCCTTCATGTTGGAAGAGTAGTTTCTTTATTTCTATCTACAAAAGTGACAATTTGTTGAGAACTACAGGGGCATAGCCAAGTTGAGTGTCTTGCCTAAGTCGTTTGAGCGAATTGTGACTCAACATGTGGCCTTTGGCATTAATTCGTATATTTCATTGCTCCAGCACGGCTTTCGGAAAGGGCGATCTACAGTCACCAACTAATTAGAGTTTACTTGTCATGTTTTCAAGGCTTTTCTAGTCGTTTTCGCACAGATGTTACATACACTGATTTAAGCAAAGCGTTTGATATGGTTAACCATAAATTACTTATCTTTAAACTCCAAGCCTCTGGCTTCCCTTTCTATTTAGTGAAATGGATAAGCTTTTATCTGCACAATAGATCCTTCAGGGTTCTGTTTAACTTCATCACCTCGGATGAATTGCCCGTGACGTCTGGCGCACCTCAAGCCAGCCACTTGGGTCCCCTTTTATTTAGTTTATACATTAATGATCTCCCATCGGAGATTAATTCAAGTCAGATCTTAATGTACGCTGATGATGTGAAACTGTTTTTTTCCTTCTCCGTAGAATCGCAATCACATCAGCTTCAAGGTGATATGGATAATTTTGTTGCATGGTGCTCTTTGAATCTTCTGAAACTAAATCTGAGTAAATGTAAGAAGCTTTCATTCTCAAGAAGAAAGTCATTCATTACTCAGTATTTCATAGATTCGCATAAGTTGGAGGACGTTGATTCGATCACAGATTTAGGCGTTCTATTTGACCGTAGGTTACGTTTTAACTTGCATATTGAGCTCTCGGTTAGCAAAGCTAGGTCCGCGCTTGGTTTTATAAAAAGGTGGTCCAGAGAGCTTGCTGATCCCTACATTACGAAAAGGCTGTACACGTGTTTGGTTAGACCTATACTTGAGTATGCCTCTGTTGTATGGTCTCCTTCATAAAGGTGCTACGTAGATTCAATTGAATCTGTTCAAAAGCAATTCTTGCTGTTTGCCCTTAGAAATTTAGTTTGGGATCCAATTGCCTCTCTTCCTCCGTATGAAAATAGGTTGCTTCTGCGGTCCTTACCGTCTCTTGAGGAACGTAGGTTTGTTCTTGGCGTTTCCTTTGTAATCAAAGTAATAAATGGAGCTGTTTAATCCGCTCAGAGTTGCTTGCTAGAACCTAAATGACGTCTATCACTTATTTTCATTATCGGACCCTTTAAAGTCCATTAAAGCAACACTGCTTTATACGCGCGATTTACCTATATCGTACTTAGAGTAGCTCTTAACCCTAAAAAGTCACGATGAGTCGAAAATTAATTTTTTTTGCAGTAGCCATGCTACTGCACTGTGGAATCCAAGCTTGCTGTTGCTTGTAGCTTTGTACTTTGCTTGTTGAAGGCCCGCATAGCACTTTCAAGAGTAAATTCTTGGATGAGCAAGTTGCCCATATCACTAAATCGGTTTGAAGTATTTACAACTTGTTGGAGAAAAAGTTAAGCTCCCCCTCCCCGTGCACTTACTCGGTGCAACCGTCGACCAGCTGACCTTTTGTTTACATTAATATCATATATTATTAAGTTACATTAAAACGTCTGACTTTGACGGGATGATTAATAATATTATTTTCTGTTAGATAGTTTCCAAATGTAATTTTATTTTACATTCACTCTCTTTTAATGAGTATTAGTATTTCGCACATGTCATTGCCTCGTATTCTCGTTTCATCTGTTATAGGATATTTAGTGGAATCAGAATGAATTAGATGAGAAATGACCACTATGTTGCCTCTATTCAAACCAGAATCGAAGATCATTTACATTAGCGAAATTTGTTTGATTATGACGGGAGCTCATTAACTATTTCCGGAAAATAAATATTTTGTAGAAGTCTCTGTCCCGCTTTATACAGCCAGACCAATGGGTTCTTCTTCATGGGTCAACCACTATGTGCGGTGTTCTATTGTTAATACCATAGATCGCTTGAAAAACACGTAAAACATTAATCCCCAAAAACCAAAAGAAATATTAGACATATACGCTTATTATTGCCTGTACATTTCCAGTCGAGCTGGTCGCACAGGTGAGTTGCTAAGTTGATTAAAAAAGGTCTGGCTTCTTCTCTGTGATTTTTAACGTCTTGCGTCAAAAAGCTAAGAATATTACCTCCTTGTAAAACTTACGTGACAATAATCATTTTTATCTATTTTCTTTGCTTGTTATAAAAATGCCATAGATATAGACATTCAATATAAAAAATTTGTAGTAGCTTTTGAAACAAAGACAAAAATTATCAAAACAGGTAAAGTTTTACTTAGAAAGAAGCACATAAAAATTTTTTTGGATCTTCAGTAATGTCACGCTATTTTCGTCATAGTCTTGGCCGTTTGCGCAGGTATAGTTTAATTGCAGTTTTCGTGGGTTGACCCAATGAATTTCGTTTTTACTTTCATCAAAGTGCGGTTTCCAAGCGAAACATATTTAGCGATGCTCAGCAAATATTCATTGGTGGCGGTCTCGAAAAATTTCAAGGTGGTATAAAGGAGGAAAAATATTTTTTAAGCCAGAATAATGAACTCATATTGAAAATGCGTGAACAAGGCGCGAAACTGAAGTGCGAGAAGTCTCACCAAAGGGAGTCAGAGTTATCAGAAGCTACGGAAAAGAAATCTTCTGATTATTTAGCGCTTAAAGAGACCTGTTCGCCTAACAAGCATAAAAATTTTCAAGAAGAAGCATTCTTTCTCCATGAAGTAAGTACAGCGGTTTTTGAAATTTTCGATTATTCCAGTTGACGGCTCCTAAAGACGTTCTCTCCCCCCTCTATATCTCCCTCTTCTTTTCTTCACCCACAATCACAAAAATATTCAGCAAACTGAATGCACAAAGCGCATATTACATCAAATGGAAAATGAAGACCGTGAAAATACAAAACAGCAAACAGAAGAAAACGAAAAAGAAGCCAAATCAGGTTGAATTATTTTAGGGAAAACCCGCCCAAAATTGTTAAAAGAAAAGTTATTTTTATTTCTAAATTGTTTTAATCCGATATATACAAATATATATACATATATATACATATATATACATATACATATATATACGTACATATACACGGATATATATATTTACTAAATACTATTTTTCCTTATATACTTTCTTATGTGTATGCTATTTTAAAATTTTAAAAAACATTTTATTAATGAAAATTCTATTTACCTCAATCCTTCTTTAGATTTTGGGTACAATCTCAATTAAACGTAAAGCAGAGTCAATTAAACTATAATAAAAAGGTCTATAGGCCAATTTCATAATGCACATCTTTGCTTAGCTGCAAATTTAGCGGTCATAGATCTGCACACAGATCTTACGTGAAATGCTAAGAATATTTTCGAAATAGAAAATACCGCCAGATAGAAACAAATGACAGAAGCGCTTAAGAGCTTTTGAAAATATATGTTAGCACCGCTTTTTTTGACGTTTCTCTTATCAATTACAGTAGTAGCGCTGTTCACTAACAGCTACTTAACTCCTTAGTCTTTCATTTTGAGTATTTGCATATTAACGTCGATACAAAGTCACACTGCAAAAGCCTAAGCAGTTTTGTGTTTCTAGCTGCATATGAACTGTGTTATATATAAAAGGGTTCGTGTACGAAGAAAAAGAGGGTTAGGCAACGAATGCAATTTGTTTTCGATTCGTCCTTTATATGAACTTATATTGAAGAATTCCAGATTTTACTTTCGCCAATTGTTTCAATAAATTTCTGTGAAATTTCTGCACAAGAATATGAAAAAATTTTCGATTTAAAAGGTATGTTACGGAATAATTTGCCGTTATTTAGAGCAGTATGTTTGCGCACACATCTGTATGTTTAACATTTTGTATGCGATTGTCCACATCACACATGAGTCATTACACAACGCGTGTTAACTATATATTTCACGTGGTTGGTTAATGAGAAAAATAAAAAAAACACATAATTTTTCTTTAATTTTCAAACATACTGATGTATTTCTACTGTGAGGACCCAAAGTCGTCCCTCGTTTTGGCCTCACGGGTTCTCCGTCTCTGGCTGGGGAGAGAGAAGTGCTAGGAAGTAAGAAGGCATAAGATAGGATAGGCATAGAGTAAGAATAGAATATATATAGGATAAGAATAGATTAAGGTAGGAATAAGAATAGATTAAGATAGAATAAGAATAGAGTAGGTCGAGTTAGTGTAGGATTAAGTTAGTTGGGGATCGCGTTTGAGACTTCCAAGTAGACGGTCGAGTTTCAGTCGCCAACGGAGAGAGTCGTAGTAATCGGAATAGAATTTAAGCTTAAGGAAAATTATAAAATAAAGGGTCCCTGCGAATTAAAAAATATTCTTGTATGTTTCTCTGGGCCGCTGAGCTGCCCCAGCCTAGGAAAGGGACGAAAAGTCCTCACACTACATTATCATTTCTTGAGTTCTACAACTTTTTCGCATACAATAATATAATATGACACTTCAAATATAAATAACACCTCCCCTTACATTAGAAACCATGAAAACCCATGAAACAACTATTTTTGGCGTTCAAACATAAAGGAAATTTGTATTTGCTACATGGCTGCTGTGCGGTACCCTCACGTGGTGAAATTTTACATCTCGATCTGTTTAAGAATATAGGCCAGCGGGTAACATCGTCTTTTCGTCAATCCATATTATTTCACGAAATAACTTATTTTCTTTAAACATATGTGTTCATCTATTGAGAGGCGTTAATCTATATAAATAGGTGAAAATGTTTAAATAAGGTGGTCTGGTCTTGTGTGAGCGATCGTGATTTGGCTGATCTCTAGTAAAATATTCTTCATAATATATAAAAACGTCAAGCCGTAAGAAATTAGTGTGAAAATCAGTCAGCCACATTGCAATTATATAATTATTAAAACAACAATTACTTAGAGAGGGACTAAAAAAAAGCAAATAATAATAAATATTTCACAAATTCACTTGAGGATTAGTATACTTTTTGTATACTTACGTATTTCTACACAAAAAAAATTGCGTTTGTCCGGTATAAATTTGAATTACATAAGTATTATTTGTCAGTTTTCAAAACCGCCGTCAAAATTAAATTGTACTAAGATTCATATCTTAACTATCGTATTATTTTTATTGCGTATGTTGTGTTTCCGTCAGCAACAGACCGGGTTGATGCATTTTTGGAGTGAAACACTGGGTCTTGCGCCCGATCAACTGTGAGCTTCAAATTAGTACATCGTATTGGTCCACATACATTGAGTATAGTTGCATTTATTTTAGGTATTTTAGCGTTAGCGGAAGCCGACGGGATTATCATTGATGCTAGGAGGCGAAGATAAGGAATTTCGTATTCGAAGTCACAAGTGAGCCGCTAGTCGATAGTAAACAAGCTCGGAGATATACAAGACGATTTAAGAAACAGTAATTGGAGGTTGCAAAAGGAATAAAATGGGCTTGCATGTTTCCACAATTCCATACAAAATATGCAAAGGTAAGCCAACTTATTTCACTAATGACCTAAAAAATGAAAATGAATTTGGAAGGAATTTCTATCTCAAGACAAAGATTTTTCCTTACAAATTTAAAGCAAGCAGGGGGACCCCTCTAAAGTAAGTGCTGCTTACATAAAAGAAAAAATAAGAAAACATACAAAGGTCGTAAGCAGATGTATAAAATTGAAAAAAGAAAAATTGTGAAATAAAAAGTGGGAAAAAACCATCCATGGGGTCTAATTTTTCTAATTTGCAGTTTTTAAATGTGCTACATTTAAGCCGTTGATTCCATGAAAATCATGCTTTTAGAATGTATTAAACAAAGTCATTTAGGGTATCTAATAGTCGACTTCTTAGTTATTCTCAAATCATGCTAAAGTTCAACCATTAGCTATTATTGATTTCAGAAGGCAGCGTTCATATTTTCTTCCTCTATCTATCGCCGGTAAATCTGAATTTACGACCGAAAATGTTGAACTGGAGAGGCTGCCTTAAACAAGGTACGCCTGACGAAAATGGGTAGCCCTCACTTAAAACAACACAATACCCTCAACTAGACACACCTCATAGGCAACCCGATAATAACAATGCCCTCCACAGGGAACGCAGTCTTATCTTATCAACAAATAATTGCGCTGACATACCCCTGCGGGCGGACAGCATTGTCATCATCGAAGAAGCGCCTGGGACCCGCATTTGCTCACCCTTAACCGAGCAATAACGGAAAACCCTGGACTGTAAAATGAAAAAGTAAGCAGCACGACACCACCGTCATCGCACAGTTATTTAGTGAAATTCTCAAAGCAATCTCAACTTTCATAGGCAATGCGCGGCCAACAAAACCACAGCAAGGACGAAGATTCGGGAAATCTGAAACGGGAAAAGAAAGCAGTTCCATTACCGTAATGGGTTACACCTAAATGAAAACAAAAATGCTTTCATTTTTCATAATATATTGTATTCAGACATTACATACAAGATTTTCGACGCACCGAAATCCACTCGCCGAGGGACGCCAACACGCGATAAATAAGAGAAGAATTAACACGTCGAATCAAAAGGATGTTTAATTATGCTAATCATCCAATTTGAATCCGGCTTACTTACGTATATTTCTTAGCTTAGACGATACGTTTATTGCTTCCATTGAACCTCGACACTTTCTACGTTGTCGTGGTAATCAGTCATTGGAGACCATAGAGAAATAGCATCTTCGTCGCTTTATAAAGACCATTTAGCTACCTGGTTCACCTTCCTAGTTTAAACACTATGCAACATTGCTCGTATATACCATATGCCCAACTTTGTCGAGCTACTTTTCATTAATCTTGGATTGAACGCCTTTGGCAATGCGTCCATTCCCTTCTTGTAAGTCGTTCGGAAATATTCTGACATATGTAATATATGACGACGACATACCCACTTCATTCATTAGTTTTCGTACTGATCTTCAAATATTTTTTTTAGTTGTCGTGGAATGTTGCCAGATCTCACATCGACTTCTGATTTTGGTTGAAATATTTTGATAGCAAAATTTTCATTAATAAATTATTCTTTATTTTTTGAACGAATATTTTCCAATTATTTATATCAGTGCAGCAAATTTCATTGAAATTGAAGAGCGTACGAAAACAACTCGTCTCCTGAATAGATGGGATTGCATCCCGGTAAAAGACTTTATTGGTACAGTGCTGGTTAACATCTGTGGGATAGCTCTCTTGTTACTTTCGATTTTCCAGTTGGCTGGCTATTTTGCTATTCATGCTTTTTCAGATGGATGTATCCACTTTATTACGAATATTTACCCTTTGTCTAATTTCGGGTGTAGTTAACTTATTTTTCGCAAACATCGTTCATTTAACGATCACTTGTGTCGTTGAAATATTTCTTTCAAATGTAGCCTTGTGTTAGGTGTGTTAAATTCCGCGGCTTTAAGTATGAAAGCAAAATTGGCATGCCTGAACGATTGGTAAGCTGTGAAAAGGTGGGGTTTAGCTTATGATGCGAATGGAAAGTCAGTATATTGATCGGATGATATTTTTATGATTAACTTACACGAAAAGAGAAGAAGGAATGAAGTTTTTTTTGCAAGGAAAATGTAATGTGCATTGAAAATTATAGTAATAAAAATATAACAAAGGCTTACTAAAACATTCAAATTCGAATTTGATATCGAAAAACAAAGGAAAACGTACTTTGCTAACCATAACGATAATTTATAGACTTTTGTTTTTTAAGTTGTTTTAAAAATGAAATGTCTTACTTAATGCTCATTGGCTGACGTTACTTGGTAAGTAAAAGGAGAAAACAAACGCGAAATTTTTATATACCCCGAATTTTCAAAACCATTAAATAAAAAAATGCTTCTTTTCTATTAATTGAAATAGATTCTTCTAAAACAATTGTGAAGATGTATCTGTACTTGACGCCCTGATCAAAATATTTTGTTGTTGTTCGATTGTGATTATC